CCCCAAAACCCCAAAACCCCAAAACCCCAAGGAATAAACGGATATGTAAGTCTTTTAAAAAGATATATTAATTGATAAAATTAAATAATTACAAAGATAATGGATTGGTTACGCAAAATCGTAAGTGGAAAGAGAAGGAGGTTTCAAGATAATCACTTTGACCTAGACATCACTTATGTTACTCATAGAATATTGGCTATGTCTTTTCCTGCCTGTGGGGTAGAATAAATGTATAGGAACAACATATCAGAGGTAAGATTGAATAAATATATTATTATTGAAATTACTAGGTTGCTGAGTTCTTGAAGCAGAAGCATGATTGAAATTACAAGGTCTACAATATGAGTGGACGTCATTATGATGCTAGCAAGCTTCTTCATCAAGTTGAAAATTATTAGTGGGAGGATCATCATTCCCCTGCATTGCATATATTATTTGAAGCATGTGAAAGCATGTATAGGTTCCTTAAATGTAAGTATAATACCTTCAAAAGCTCTATTAAGCTACCTATTGAGGAGAAAACTTAGCATAATGTTTAATTAGAGGATCCATCGAATGTAGTAGTAGTCCATTGCAATGCTGGGAAGGGTAGAACTGGTACACTAATAAGTTGCTTCTTGATTTACAGTGGATTATCAGACAATGCTAAAGATGCTATGACTTATTATGGATGGAAGAGATTTAGTCATGGTCGAGGAGTGACATAGCCATCTCAAATTAGATATGTTTACTATTTCGAATAGGTTTATAAGAAATAAGTAAAGAGTCCAGTACTTAAATAACCAAAGCAAATTACTATTCACACTATTCCTTTAGTGTCTAAGAAAGGCCATTGTAAACCATATATCGAGATTTTGAATGGTACTGATTTCTAAACAGTAAATTAGCTAAATTAAGAAATTCACTTTTTAATAGATATGGACTAATAAAAATTCTAAGAATCTGGCCAAGTATAAGTTCAAGGAGACTCAGTATGATTATAAATTTGAATTTATTTATTACAGAAAGCAATCAATGACTACACTGATAGATGATAAACTTATGCTGAGCAGTGATTTGTACTTCAGAATAAAGCATTTGGGTGGCATTAAAAACAAATTAATCTGCCGCTTTGCTCTCAATCCAGCCTTTATCTTTGACAAGTAGTATATTCATTTTTTATTTTGTCTTTAGTACCATTTTTCTAACTAAGAAAACTGTAGATCCAGATAAAATTTAGAGAAGTCCGATGTATAGTAAGGATTTCAAGATCGAAATATAATTTGTGGATGTTTGTATTAATTGCAAATCAACCAACATCATTGAGAAGCAGTGTAACGAATGCCTCTTTATGATGGGCCAGGACAAAGAATATTGGAAGTTGATTTAGAGTATACTGAGTGTAAATTAATTAATCTCATAATTACATTATCAGATCCATGACTACCCAAATGATGAGCAAGGATCGATACTGAACTTTAATTCCACTTGTAATGACTTCACTTTAACAATAAGTAAGTTATAATATATTTAATTTCCAAAAGAGTAGCACAAAAATCCCCTGAAGCTCACTTAGGTTTGGAATGAGACAAAAACATATACGGAAGAGACTGATACAGATAATGATGAGAGTGAAAACTCAGACTATCATTAAACTGAGAATTGTCTTGATAAGCATATACCAAGAAGATGTAAAGTCTTTTGGCTAATTTAATTCAGAATCATTTGATGCAGCAACTCGTTTAAGAAGCACTAAGCTTGAAAGATTGGAATTCCTCACAGAGGGAGATTTCTAGTATGTATATGTAAATGACGATGAGGATGATGAAGAGGAAATGAAAAGTAAGTAATTTAATCTATAGCATTTAAAAATCCTAATCTATCAATTTATATTCAATTGTATTTTATTCTCAAAGTTATTCTAATCACTTAATTTAGTGCATACTAATCCAAGAAATAGGATATCAACTAAGTTAAAAATAATAGGACCTGGAGAAAGCTTAATCAAGGATGAATAGTTTGAATTTTCTAATCAAAGCACTCTTCTTAGCAGTATTAAAAACTGTGAAGTTGAGTACGAACGAGGAAGATAATATGCTGTGAGATAATTAAGTAGATAAGAAATCATGCTAAATGATTATTTAAAGGACAACACTCCCATGATAAAGTAACAATCAATGCTCGAAAAAAAAGACTCAGATAAATTTGAAGTTCCCCTCTATATACCTATGCTCCAAAAGAAATCAAAATCTGCAAGTCATAAGCAAGATAAGTATTACAAAAACAAAAGAAAGTAGCAAGGTCCTCAAACTAAATATAGGTAGAAGTTAGAAATGATGGTTAGGACAAGGAACGCCGTATACTTCAAATCAAATAGTAATCAATTTCATCGCTAGATTACAAGGGAAATCGATTACGACTTGCAAAGAGTTAAAACAATCACATTCTAGGACTAGGAGGATATGTTCGAGTAGAATCTAGCTATTTATTAATAGCTCAGAGAATGATAAAAATGCACTATCGATCCTTCAAGCGGATCAATCAAAATAATATATCATTTGATTTCATTAATTATATAAAAAACAACATATACAAGCTGTGATAAAGATGATGGGGTTTTGGGGTTTTGGGGTTTTGGGG